TGGTGATTATTTATTTATTGACAAAAATGATAGACGTCGGCGTCTTCGAGGTAAACTCCTATTTAAAGGTAAGATTAGATAAAACCATATATTTACTTATATATTATATCATATTCTTCTTGACGATTTTTAATAGGAACATTCGAGGAATGTGAAGAATATTGTGAGGGTGATACTTTAACAGTTGATAAATCAACATGGTTGATTACCATTGTCTCCGAATCAAATAACAATAACAAAGTAACGGAATGTACAACATTTAAACAAAAAAATGAATCAAAAAAACCTGAGATTATTGGAATGCAAATGAAAACAAATTCATCAATTACGATTGTTAAGAAATCAACTCAAATTGATAAAACAACACAAAGCAATCAACAAAATGCATTTGATAATCTATTATTCTTGGTGGTGTTTTACCAACACCAAATCATCCAACTAATAAATTATTTCGAACTATACTGGACATGATATATCAAGAATGTGCACAATTAGAAGCTGGTGTTACTTTTTTTATTCCTGGTGTAGGTGAACAAAATACTAAATTTTTTATTATTGCATCATGTACAGATAAACCAGCTCAATCGTTATTAACTAATATGGTCTCCCACAATGCTAATTATAGCTGTGCAAAATGCTTTACTGAAGGTACATTATAATTACTCTTTAGTTTCATTTTTCAAGTTCAAAATTTATTGCATTATTTTAGGTGAAAATTTCACTATCTATTCGAAAAAGGTACGAAAAAGTACCATCAAAGTATTCCCGTATAGAAATGATGAAGTCAGGAATAATTCCATATGCAATAATCTGGCGATCGAAGCCGAACAGCATGGCTCTCCTGTTAAAGGACATGCTGGTAAGTATTGTCTCGGATGCCTTGATTTAACCAGGTTATTTGGGAGAGTCTTTCAGAAGAAAATTTTATATAATTATTTGCTGCATTTATGTTGTGAAATTTATTTGTTTTAGCTCCGTGCCCTTTAACAAAATTAAAATATTATTCTTTGGGTGAATCAATACTCTTTGATTCATTGCATACATTATATTTAGGTGTATTTAAAAAATTTTGTTCGTTGATTTTTTCTAAATCCAAAACTGATCGTCAACAAAAATGGTCGCTTTATAATAAAATAAATAGTATTGATCAAGGGTTATCTTCTGTTAAGATTCCAACTACTACAAGTCGAAGATTTCGAACAATAAAACATATTGCACGTTTCAAGGCGAACGAATTCAGATCCTTAATGCATCACGGTTCAACAGTATTGTTACAAGCAATGTTACCAAAATATCGTCGACATTTTGCATTGTTATTAGCTGCTGTTAACATTGCTTCTAAAGATATTATTGACAATTATGATATAATATTAGCCAAAGAATTATTACATCAATATGTAAAAGACTGGCAAAAGATATTTGGTCTTCGTCATATGTCATCCAATATACATTCACTTTTACATATTCATGAATCAATACAATTTGTAGGTCCTTTATATATGTATAGTGCTTTTAATTTTGAAGGTTAGTTTGCAGACTACACGTCGTTATTACATATAATTCTCTATCATGGATATTATCTCATTATAATGAGAACAAAAATATAGATCAATATTGATAAAGATTATTTCAATTTTTATTTGAACGATAAGTGTTTTGTTAAGTTGAAGGAAAAAAAAACCATCATCAATTATTAGCTGATGCGATTATAATTACATTTTGACATCAGTAATAAAAGTAATACAATGAGTTTGATCGCTTTATATTCATTTAAGGTGTTTTAACTCGTTTGTAGCGATTTGAAAAAGACTTATGTTTTTAGAATATCATGAGTTATCAAAATTCAAAGTTAAATGAGCTATAACTACCTGATCATTTATTTCTCACTATTCTTTCATTTTCTACGCATTACACAAAAATTGCTAACAATTCAATAGGTTTTATCATCGGTTTAAAAAGAATTTTTCAGGTTGTATTTATTCTTAATTACTATCTCAGGCATTGGTCATGACCTGGTGTGCATGATCCATGATATGACACACTATGGACCACAATTAATTTCAAATTTACAATATTATCGACAAGCTATAATTGATGTATTCAAACTTGATTATCCAGAAAAACTATTTTATTTTAATGAAAGTATTCTTAGTCGCAAATTAGTATCAAATCAAGGAATACACGTGAGAAAACGAGTGTCTTTTACAAATTATGTTGACGAGATGAAGCATTTGAACTTAATTACAAAAAGAAAATTCTTGTATCATGATGAATTAGCCATCAAACATGTTAAATATAATCCCAAGTAAGCAAAAAATTATGCATGACGGCCGACATGACTAGTCCGAAATGTCCGCAATACCCGTCAGGTCTAGTCTGAAACGTCTTGCACATCCGACATGACTAGTCACCTTTAGGAGAAATGTCCTTCGAACACGTCTGGACTAGTCTAGAATGTCTTTCAACCCTGTCATGCCTGGTCCGTTTTGTCCGTTGAACCCGTCCAAACTAGTCCGAAGTTTAAAAAAGAAGATAAACGGTGAATTCGAACATCCAACCCGACAGTATTCGAAACCTGACGATCATCCTGACGGGAGACTAGGACACTGGAATGAACTGACGCCCATTTACATTCTAAAATACAAAATTGATTCCTTTTCATCCCGTAAACAATCAGAAACCAGTCGATGTTACACGTCTTTAACTAGTCTGGAACATCTTCGATAGTAGTTAGGACTATACCGACGCGTCGTCTTCACTCGCCACGACTAGTCCTTTTCTAAAGAGTGTCATTCATCCTGGTCCAGACTAGTCTGAAAGACTCTAATCAAGTCACTTTCTTTAGACTAAATTATTCTATAAACTCGTTTAAACTGATGAATAATGGAAAGAAAAGAAGTAGTATGTAAATAGAAAAAGTTTTCAACATCTATATCATTTGTTAAAAATGATCGATGGATAATCATATGCATTTAGAATCTGGACTAGATAACAGAATAGCAACCGTTTTATTGCCTATAGTGTACTCAGATTTTCGTAAATTGATAACTAAGCATGATCTATTGTATTATGATTATGGAGATTAATAACATGCATTGTTATTTTGTATTAAAATTATGTCGATTGTCACTAGTATTATTAGTTTTTTTCTCTTTCTAGAACGACAATCAGAAAGTCTGTCATAGCCAATAGTGAAATCAAAGATAGATAGTATACTTTGTGCATTCCTATCTGTCTTGATATATCTTATTATATTTTGTATTTTCATATATTGAAAATATATAAGAGCATATCAAAACATTAAAAAGTGGAAGTAACTATAAAGAATAGTAGTTATCAAGCAACAAGGAGTGCTAACTTATATTTTTTAAAATTATTAGATGTACCAAATTTTAAAAAAAGAGCTAAAAAATAATTGAAATCTTTTTGTACCATAATTGCTGCTTTAAATATCAGTTCTAATAAATTTTTAAATTTAAAAGTAGATTTAATTGAAACAAAATTAATTTAATACTTAGTTGAAGACATGATGATTTAAATTTTCAGGTAAACTAAATCATGA